CCCCAAAACCCCAAAACCCCAAAACCCCAGAAGTATGAATATCAAGAAAATTGAATAAGCCAAGAATTTCAGATAATGAAAATACTTTGAATATAATATCATTTTTGAATTACAAATTTAGTTGTTTTAAGTCATAATTCATATAGATCCAATGAGATTGCAAGATTTAATAGCACACTCGAAGAGTTGATCATAATTATCAAGATTCCTATTAAGCAAAAAATCAAAGGGAATACTTCATAAATGCCTCTCTGAACTTTAATTTCTCCAATAATTATTTGATGTTTTTAATAAGTGTGATATAAGTATCCAGGGATGATGTAAACTACCATAGGTGTAGCTACGCAGCCTAATATACTGACAAGCTCATATATTCTTGTATTAGTCGTGAGTACCACAATATTAATAAAGACCAAAATTAGAGCGGCTTTGATAGTTGTTGCTTTATCCATATCCATATAAGCCATCCAGTATTTCTATTCTTTAAATATCTAGAGAGTAAATATCTGACCGTTCAAATAACTAATTACTTTATTATCTTCAAATGTTTCTTCAGATTTAAAGCTCTCAAGTAATTTATTCTTATCATCTTCTTCTATCTTTATTCTTGATTTCATTATATTTAGAGTTAGTGACTCTCTAAACACTTCATCTATTAATATACAAAATTGTTCATGAGCCAAGTGCAGTGTCAAAATACCTTGAATCATTTGAGTAAAAGATATAATTAGCAAGCTAAGAATGGAAATTATAATCTAAAAATGTCTATAAATAACCATGTAGAGCTAGCAATCTACACATTTAATGTCTGAAACATATTTGTCTACTTGAAATAGAAAAAAGAAAATCCATATATGAAATGCAAGAGCAATAGAAAGACTAATAAGAGAGGACTTAAATCCTTATACTCCATTCCAATCTTTGATTTTCATATGGCATTATACTGGAATCAAGCAGAGCTCAAATTAAAATGAAAAAGCAATCATTGGCATCAAAAGCAAGAAAATATCTATTATAATTTTTACAGTGAAAAGCATCTTACTCTATTATCTGTAGTCATATTACCTCTCTTATTTCGTTAAATCATCTTTTACCGGTAAGTTAGAACTCATTACCACGTAAATTACTTGGCAAATTATTAGTAAGAAGAGTATAAAGGTAAGAATCATCGATAATATTGAGAGGTACATAAAGCGTTTGAAATTCATCCAATATAAACATATAAGGGCTAAAACAAGAGATCCGATTCCGAATATGTTATAGATTATATCAAAGTTTGTTTCTGTTTCATAGTCCGTTATGTTTGAAATTAGGAAATACACACCCTTTGCAAAAGAAGCTAATAAGATAAAGTATATTATGTTAATTCTAATTTACCCATATGAGCTGCTGGTGATAATCCGTAAGAAACAAATTGCATTACTGATATAAAGATAACTATTGCTCTCTGATTTGTTATACAAAAAGCTATCTCTTAAATTGAACTATATTTGTAAAAAGCATTGGTTTATACTTACTTATATTAATAGTATATTCCTCTTAATCTTAATGAAATATAGCAAGAGTAAACCCCACTCGCAAAATTAAAAATTAAGAGGAAGAAATAGAAAATAGGTTATTTTGTTAAATTTGAGGGGAGAGTTAAATAGCCAACTCCTAAAATTCTGCATAGCAATACACACACTGCTTAAAACATATTGAAAGTTTCTTCTTTCTAGAATTTAAAATCTTAGCTGTCTTCTAATGAATATTTTCCTTTTGAGTCAATGAGATCTGGGATTCCAAAAAATTGTGCAGTTATTTTTTAATTTTGATTTCCACATGAAGTATTTATTGTTACTTTTGATTCTTTTGAATCTGATGAAACTCCAAAATCTACAAATTGTTAAACATTTTGACTTTTTGAATATCCTTTAGATTTAGTCTCGTTATTTCTATTTGCATCCTATCCTATGCTTCTATTCAATATTGAGTTTTCATCAGTGGGTGAAGATTCAGTATAACCTATTTGAGGATTAAATTATGGTGGATTTCTATTGTAAAAATCAGTAGCATCCTCTGTTTGCTCATTCATTTCTCTAGAAAATAATTCAATTATACATTATCTATTGACTACTTTAAGATTAAAATATCTCTTTATGGGGTTTTGGGGTTTTGGGGTTTT